TTGGCAGCAACACTAACCCATCAGATGGTGACCTCTCCTCCGTTTTGGATCCTCAGAGAGACTAGCCAACCTTGACATTGATTCCATGTATGTATATTTCCTGCTCTGACTTTTGGTGCTCTGGCTTATGATGCTAGATAAGATAGAACCACCAGTATGGAGTAACTCTGTATTAACTGCTGTGCTTCACTTCTTGTAGATCTGGAAAGATGATTGAACAGTTTGATAATTACTTGATAGAATTTTTCAGAGTTTAGAAATATACACCAAGAACCACAAGGAAGACATTTCCACGTGGAGGCACTCCCTAAGCCTGGCCTCCTAGGGACTGACCTGGCCTACTCTTCAGGCAGTGTGACATGACAGTGTGACACGTCAGGGTCACCTGGGAGATCAGGAGCCCTCAGTTCTCCAGGTGAGCACCACCAACCATTGCTGCATGAGCTTCAATTCACTCCCTAACTTTCCAGGAATTCTCCTCACACAGCTTTAAAATTAGGGGCTCTCTCAGTTGAAACAAACCTGAAAGTTTTTGTCTGCATTTGACAGTTTTCCAGATAACACTTCTGGTTTAAAATACTTCCTTGTATTACACTTATTCCAAGAACTATACTATCTCTCTTCTGATGATGGTGTTATGAATCAAATTGTTTTCTTTTTATTTAAAAAACATATTCTCCTCTCATATACTACATCCCCTCCTAGCTCCTCAAAATACCTCCCCTCTCCCCCAGATCCAGATCCACTGGAAAGCTCCTTATTAGTATATAGAAAATGTATCTTAATTTTTAAAAACTTACATTTTTGAACAAGTGCTGGATATTTCACATCATCCCTGATACCTCCCACCCTCCTTCCTCTGGCCCTTCTCCCTTTCTGCTTAGTCCCCTGTGTCTGCTGAACAGCTTAACTCCTGCTTTCATGTTACATATGCATGCATAATTTTATGTATCTATATAAAATGTAGGAATAAGAGAAAAGAAACAATATGTATCTTTATGAGACTGGCTTAATTCATATAATACGATTATGTCCAGTTGCATGCAATTTCCTGCAAATAGCATGACTTCATTTTCTTCATGGTAGGGAAAAATTCCAGTGTGTATATACACTACATTTTCCTTGGACATTCCTGTTTGTTGGACACCTGTGTTGGTTTCATAACAACTGTGGTGAATAGTGCTGCAATAAACACTGATGAGCAACCATCTCTGTCATAGTTTAGCTTGGAGTTCTTTGGATAAATACACAAAAGTGATACAGCTGTGTTACCTAGTAAGCGGACTAGTTCGCAATCCCACCATCAGCGTGTAGGGTTCCATTTGGTTTATGTTCACATCTTTGCACTAATTGTTGTTGTTATTTGTTTTCTTTTAAACTGACGTTCTGACTGGGGTAAAATAAAATCTTAATGTAGTTTCAAATAATGTGGTGCGGGGGTGTATGAATGTGAGAGTGTACCCCTGTATGCACATGCAGGAGCAGAGCAATATATCAGGTGTCTTCTTCTATCATTCTCTGTTTTTATGCTTGCTTGCTTGCTTGCTTGTTTGCTTGCTTGCTTGCTTGCTTGCTTGCTTGCTTGCTTGCTTGCTTGCTTGCTTGCTTGACTGTCTTTCACTGAATTGGCAGCTTAAGCTTTGAGGTTTTCTTGTGCCCACCCCCTGTCCAATACTGGGGTCATAGGAATTATACAGCCTGGCTTTTTATAGTGGTGTTAGGAGTCCAAACTCAGATACACATTCTGGCAAAGCAAATACTTTTTCCCACTGAGCCCTCTCCTGAGCCCCTCAATGTAGTTTTTGCCATGCAATGTCTCTTGAATAGTGATGTTGTGAATATTTCATCTTTTTATTGTCCATTTATATTTCAGATTTTGAAAATTCTGTTTTATTTTGTTAGCCCATTTTATTTCTCCCATTCTGTAACCCATATGTCTTAGTCAGTGTCCATTGCTGTGAAGAGACACTATGACCATAGCAACTCTTATAAAGGGAAGCATTTAATTGGGACTGGCTTACAGCTCAGAGATTTAGTCCATGGTCATCATGGTAGGAAGCCTGGCAGCATGCAGTCAGATGTGGCATTAGAGCGTAGCTTAGAGTTCTACATCTGTATCCACAGGCAGCAGGCAGAGACAGATGCCAAGCCTGGCTTGAGCATTAGAAATCCCAAAGCCCACCCCCAGCGACACCCTTCCTCCAAGACCACACCTACTCCAACAAAGCGACATCTCCTAATCCCCGTCAAGTATCACCACTGCCTAATGACCAACCAGTCAACTATATGAGCCTGGGGGGGGGGCGGCCATTCCTACCCAAACCACCACACCATCTCTTCATTCCATTAATTGTATCTTTGCTGTACAGAATTTTAAAACTACATTCAGTTCCATTTGTCAGCCATTGCTCTGATTTCCTGAGCAGCTAGAGTCTATTAAGAAAGCAGTTGTAGAAGCCTTTATCTTGGAGTAGTTAGTTCCCCTACTTTCTTCTCTGATAGCTTCAGAATTTTGGGTCTTACATTAAGATCCCTGGACCATGGGAATGGATTTTTTGTTTAAGACAAGAAATCAGGATTTAGTTTGATTCTTTTACATGTTGATATACACTTTCACCAGCATCATTGTTGAAGATGTTGTCTTTACTTCAAGTTGTTTCTATCTCTTTGTCAAAATTCAGTTGCTGTAGTTTCTTGGATTTATATCTGGGTCATACATTCTATTCCATGATTTTTGTGTCTGTTTTGTGCCATATCATGTTGTTTCTGATACTGAGAGTGTATTATAACTTGAAGTCAGATGTAATGATACTTTGAGTGGTTTTTTTCCTCAGAATTGTATGCTTCTAAATAAATGTCTTTTTATATTTCTGTGAAATATGCATTTGGAATTTCGACTGGGATAAAATTGAATCTGTGACTGACTTTTGGTATGACAGCCAGTTTCACAATATTGACTCAGACTCATGACCAATGAGAGGTCTTCTATAATTTATATCTTCAAACGTTTTTGAGTTTTCATTATAGATGTCTTTCACATTCTCACTTGGGCTTATTCCAAGGTACTATTTTAGGCCTTTGGAAGAGGATTGTTTTATTAATTTCTTCTCAGTATGCTCACTATTTGGGTAGGAAGGCTACTGGTGTGTGGTGAAGCTGTTGGTTATCTGTAAGAGCTTTCTTGTGACGTGTTTTGTATCTCTTAGGTATACATTCAAATCATGGGTGAATAAGGATGCTTTGAAGACTTTCAGGCATTATGTGGAATAAAAGTGGAGAAAGTAAGGCTGGAGCTATGACATATAATAATAACTAAATTTTCTTTTCCTTTTTTTTTTTTTTTTTTTTTTGGTTTTTCAAGACAGGGTTTCTCTGTGGTTTTGGAGGCTGTCCTGGAACTAACTCTTGTAGACCAGGCTGGTCTCCAACTCACAGAAATCCACCTGCCTCTGTCTCCCGAGTGTTGGGATTAAAGGCATGTGCCACCACTGCACAACTGGTCATGAATTCTTTTACCCTGTTTCTATGACAGAAAGTGTTTCCTTCTTCAATTATGTCAGACAGTTTCTCTGAGTATAGTAGTCTGAATTAGCATTTGTTGTTTTTCAGAACTTGAATTATGTGTAAAAGTATCTACTGTGAATCTGTTAATCTTGTGGACCTACTTTTATATGTGACTTGCTGTTTCTCTCTTACAGCCTTCACTATTCTTTGTTCTTTCACTTTCACTACAATATGACATAAGGAGTTCATTATATTGCCTTCTCTTGTCTTTAGTATTCTAAATGCCTCCTGTACTTCCACAGACATTTCTTCCCCTAGAAATGGGAAGTTTTCTACTATAATTTTATTGAAAATGTTTTCTATGCTTTTAGCATGAAATTATTTTCCTTTTATGCCAAAAATTTATAGATTTGTTCTTTTCAGAGTGATCCATAGATCTAATGTGTTCCCTTCATATATTTTGATTAATTTATCATTTTCATTGACTGAGTGTTCCAATTTTTCTACCTCATCTTTACTCTGATAGTCAGTGCTTTCTATGTTCCTATGTTTCTATGTTTCTATGTTCTGTTAGTGAGACTTTTCACAGAGCTTTGCATTTTACTTATTGAATTTTTAATTTCCCTTATATCTAGATGCTTTCTTATATTTCTATCTCTTTATTGAATTCCATTTCCATATCCTTTGTTGATATCCTTATTTCTATCAGCTGTTAGTTTTCTTCTACAATTCATAAAGTTTGTGCCTCTAATTTCTTTGAACACATTCAGTTTAGTCTGGTGACCCCAGCTCTCAGTTTCCCAATAGTGGGGTCATAGGATACAGAGACATGGAGATCACAGGTGTATTTCTGAAATTCCATCTGGCTGTTATTCCTTTGAATGTCATGTGCCAATGTGGAGTGCCAATCTCCCAACACTATAAAAAAGAAGATTTTCTTGGAGTCTCCTTCTGTTATTGAACTTAAGAGTGAAGATTTTTCCTAGCCTCTCTAGATCACACAGACTGCTGTTGGCACTCCCTCTCACTGGGAATAAGGGTAATATCTCCTATTTCACTTAGCTACTTAAGCGAGCAGTATCCATGTCACCCATCTCTTCTTATAGCTGTTATGTCGCTTTGCCCAGTTTATTTCTTGAAGATTCTGGAAGATCATATCTAAGTGTCAGCCACCACCTTCTGAAATGGGGTGGTTATTATTTCTTCAGGGTACCATTTAACATGTTAAGGCAAGATGACTAAACTAAATGTATTACTTTGTTTTCTTTTGCTGTGATAAAATACCATGATCAATGCAACTTATAAACAAAAGAGTTTGTTTTGGCTTACAGTTTCAGAGGGCTTGAGTTCATAAAAGCAGGGCAGAGGCAGCAGGAGTAGGAAGTGGGTGCTCACATTTTGAACCACAAGAATTAATCAGAGAGAGAAACTGAAGATAGTAAAGATTCTTAAACTCTCAAAGCCCTCCTCCAGTGACATACTTCTAACAATACCATACCTCCTAAACCCCCTCAAACAACTCCACCAAATGGTGTTCAAATACACGAGCCTATGGGAGACGTACTCCCTCAAATCACAACACTAAATTTAAAAAAGTAATGTGTATAATGTAGAAATGCTGTGTTTAGAGGTAATTGTCATCTTAGAAAATAATGTGTAAGAACTGGCTTCATCTAAATGGGGTTTGAAACTTGTAATTTCATAATCTGTCAATACATTCTCAGTGTTGGTAAGATAATCCTGGCAATACATACACACCCTGTATGATGACCTGTTTCTAAAATGGGAAGTAACAGATTTGTTCTTTACGGATTTCATCAAGGCTGACATCAAGGGACAGACTTTATCTCCCAGGACTTAAGGCACAAAGAACAAATGACAGAACAGGTATGTTCACATAATAGCCAACACTTCAGAACCATAATTTGCAGTTATAGTTATGAATGTTGTCAAATCTCCAAAATAGCCAGAATATAGGCATAATTATTCAGTCTGTCAGCACTGTACCAGGTTAACACTGGCAAGTATGGTAGAACCAAATCACCAAGTGAATAACATTGCTCCACATCTGAATGTTCAGTCCAGGAAATGTAGATAATGAAAGTCAATGTTTATTAAATCAGACCAATGAGGATGCAGCAACAAAGAGCACCCAAGCCTCAGAGGAGTAAAAGAATGAATGTCATTTCTCTCTAAACCCATCATCAATTGAAAAGTTTTTGTGCATCATAATAATAATCCAGAGATCTTCCACCAACATAGAGGCTTAAATCATAACACCAGAGGGCGAAACAGAGTTCTGGGGTCTTTGCATTGACAATTAAGTGTTACCTAGCAGAAGTGGCATGGTCAGTTTTTTTCCCCACATTTATGGACATTTATGGTCTTATGGACATTTGCCATAAGACCAACTTCAGTGAAATTGGTCATTTTATAACTCCATAATATCTTAATATATCATTGCAGGTTTAATTTATATTTCCCTAGTAATTAAAGGTTGTCAGCACATTTTCCAGCAAGTTCATTGACCGTCTGATAAATTTTTTCCCGATAAATTGTTCAGATTTTTAAATACTTCACTTTGATTGTTGTATTCTACTTATTGTGACATAGTATGTACTACTCTATGCTCTGAATACAAGTTCCTTGTGGAAAATAGGTTTTGTCAATACCTTATTGCAGTTGCCTTTGCCTTTCCATTTTCATACAGTGTGTTTTGATAAGAAGATATCTTTTTCAGTTTTAAGAAATGTAATTATTCATGGATTTAATCTCTAAGAACTATTTGCCAGACATAGATTATATAATCTATTTTTTCTTTAAAATATGTAGACATGCACAAACCTGCATTATATTAAGCCAGCCAAAAATCCCACATGGATGGGGGAGGGGTTCATGAAGTTCCATTCCCAACTGAGGAGCTATTGGCAACTGATGGCTGCTTAATGTTCCAACAGCCATGGAACATTACAGCCATGCACATACAGGCAGCACAAAGTGGACTCTGCATTTTTCTGGTGGCAAACAATAAAAAAAATCAGACACATAGCTTTTATTTTGATATGTACTTCTATTTCCCACTAAGAATAAAACTATCCTAACTAAAAATGGTCCATATAAGCCATAAACCTCACAATTTAGTATTCTACAGTTTGCCTTAAATACTATGTAAAGAGAGAAAATATTGTATGCCTTTCACTCTTACCCTAATATTTATTGTTTCTTCTGCTGTTCTATATTCTCTGTAGCTCCAAGTATCAGCCCAGCATTTGTCCTCAGGCCTAAGAGCATCCTCCAACGTTATTTGCAGTACAGGTCTGTCGTGAATAAATCTGTTAGATTTCACTTTGATTGAAAGCGTCTTGATTTTACCTTCCCTTTCCAAGGATGGTTTCACCAGATACAAAACACCATGTTAACAAGCTTCTTTTCTCTTAGGTTTACTTTGAACATGCTGCCTTCATGATCAGCTATTGTCTCTTGCGTCTGATAGCAATTAAATATAAATCCTGCATTGTTAGCAGAACATATTGGGTGAATTTTCTCAGATTGCTGTGGAAGTTTTCTCTATATCTTTGATTTCAGCAGTTTGTCTATGATATCGCTAGGTGGAGGGTTTCTCCCCCTATCTTTTTTAGTGTGAGATGGGATGCACTATGTTACCCAACCTTGTCTCAAACTTACAGAAAAGTGATACTCCTGACATGGGGCCACATATGTCAATCATTGAATGTAGCTAAAACATGCTTCTCGTTGGAAATTTCTCAGTTTTTTGAATGCACAAGTTTTTGTTTTTCACAATTTTAGGGGAAAAGGAAATCATAATGGTCTCAGATACTTTTCTTCTTCATTTATTTTTTGTTTTTGTGATGCCAATTATATGCACTTTGCAATGTTGAACTCTTCACTACCTCCCTACAGCTCACTAAGGTTGCCAAGTTTTTGTGAGGCTGTTCATAAATGATTTCCCTGCTCTGCCGATTTCTGCTCACTTAACTGACTCCTTAGTTTGTAGTTTATAATCTTATATTAAGCATATCCATTTAAAATATTCTAGATGAGACAAAAAATTCATCTTCACAGTTTCTATTTGTTCCTCTTTTCCAGGCTCCATTTCACTTTTGAGATTACTCATCTGTCCATTCATGATGAAATGTATTTCTTTCTGCCTGTGAAAACACAAAACAAAGCTTCAAAATATTTTTCTGTTCATTCAGACATTTGAGCCATCTTATTGTCTTGTTCTTCCATGCATCTTAAATTGGTTTTTGACCTGTGGGCATTGTTTATAATAATCATCTTTTTTGTTTTTCTTCTCACTGTGAAGAAATTAGAGTTGAATTCTCAGTCACCTCTAGCCAGTCTTTCTGGCTATCAATCTTGGTGCTGGTTTATTAATTCCTGGCCATGCTTTTCTCCTTGTCCAAATTTATGGGTTTTGAGCTCCATATATTTGTTGTATTTAAAATCTTTTACAGAATTAGCTGTAGTGTTAAGAACAAAATAAAAAGAAAGAGAGAGAGAGAGAGAGAGAGAGAGAGAGAGAGAGAGAAAAGAAAGGGAGAAAACACTCTACCTAATATTCTGCCTTGATGGCTTCATTTTGCATTTTTGGCTGACTCTGGTCATAAAAAAGTTCTTTTCCTGACCTCTGGGAGTATGTTCAGGCAGGCATTGCATGATGATTGTAAATGCTCCCCAAGCCCTGCCACTGTAGACACAGCCATATGAAGACATTTCCTGCATGATCAGAAAGCTGCTGTTGAAGACACTACCCGTTGTGTTCTTCAATAATAAAGTCAGAGGACTCAGTGTTTTCTTTTCATGATACCTGGGGAGTTTCTGTGAGAGTCTATTTCAAAAAAAAAAAAACAAGAAAAAAAAAAACAGGTTTTCATCAAGTAGAAACTGTGTTTTCCTTGCCAGGAATCTTAATGCATACATCACCAAAATTGGATCGAAAGATAAGTGCACAGCCCAGCTCCACAAGCCTCAATCTAAACATTCCCCTATTTATCAGAAACGTTCAGTGTTGCTGCAAAGTCATTTTGGCAGCTCGAAAGTATGGTCTGGGAATCGAACTCAACTTTTAAGAGAACTAATATATGGAAAGTCTTAGCTTTGTAGAAATTCAGCCTTCAAAATGATCATCATACAATGAAACCATAGTACTAAAAGAAATTTGAACACAACAAAAAATTGATTTATAAACCCTTAGCTGTAAGTTGGAAACTGAATGTTACCATTGGATAAATAATCAAGAATGAGGTAATGAAGTTTCCTGTCTACTGAGAAAAAAAAACTTAACAAATCTACTCATGTAAAAATCTTCTAAAAAATGAGAGTTCATGAAGCAGAAAAGCATAAAATATAAATACAATAGGCTACTTAATAAAATATTAAGACATAATAGAAAATAAACATTATCTGTAATTGCAATATTAAAATATTTAATGTAATTAATTATAAAATCAGTGGCTTTGGGAAACAGAAGGACATGACTTCAATGTGGACACTATCATTTACTAGTTATGTGAACTTGAGCACATTTTCAGCACAGCTCCTCTGTCTGGCATTTGTACTGACTACTACTGCTACATGGTAGAGTGGTTAGAATTTTAAATGACATATTGCATGAAATTGTTTAGTCCAATGGCTGGAATCTGACATATGCTTAATAAATGGTATTGTGAAAACGCTCTATCTATCACTAAAAGATCACTATGGAATTCCGGGCTATTTATTTTCTTCTTGAACCCATAACTTCTTCTGTTTAGTAACTGGGCCAGAAATGAATATTGTTTCCATATTTCAAGTCACTCTAATGTGAGTCATAAAATCATGGACCACTGGAGTTGAATATTGCAGAAAGTGAAGATTCATGTATGAGAAAAAAATCATAAAACACCTGTTTGGAGAAAAAATGAGGCAAGAATAATCATGAGAACATAACAGATATTTATATAATACTTTGGTAGTACATGATCATTTTATAAAATTTGAAAGACACATGGGATTCTGTAACACTATGTACTTCAGCTGCCTGTGCAGTTAAAGATATTCTTTGAAAATAGAAGTCATGAGTTTTTATTTCCATACCACATGTTATTTTTCTCCTCATTTCAGTCAACATACCATTGCTAACACACACACACATGTACACACACACACACACACACACACACGTACATATATATACTCACATATGCATACATAAACAAACACCCTCACAAATGCACACAAAACATTCACACACATGAACAGGAATTTGTATCATGGGAGCTCAAGATGTTTTGGGCTGTTGGTAAAATTACTTAATCTAAGAGCTACTATAATGATTCTAATTTTCATATGTAATTGTGGCTTAGCAGGACCTCTGATTTCATCAATAATCTTTTTCCTGAATAAAGATAATGTTATTTACTAAGAATGAATAGAAGAAGAGGCGCCAATGTTAATCACAAATTCTGGATGTTGCTTTGAATGGATATGGGAGCTCCTACTGCTTATCAGGCGTGTGGACCTCTCACCTAGGCAATTGTACAAAGGTCCTACAGGCAGGTGAGAGGCTTGGGAAAGAGAAAATGATTTTATAATTTTCAGAGTATTGTATCATCCAACATTTACTAAGTGCCTATTACAAGCAACACAATATAATAGTACAAGCCTCACAGTAACTCTAGAAGAAAATCACCACTGCCCTCATTATATGATAAAGAAATGGACAGTGGGGCCAAGTAAACTGATCAAAATTCCACGGAAAATAAGTGTCAGAGCCAAGATTTTATGCATAAAGTCAGGCAGACTTCCTGGGTCATTACCTGACCCACCCCCTGTTGTGCACTTTGTACAGATTCTCAGACTTTATATACAGGTTCTTATATTCTCAGGCCTCTAATGAATGGTGTGATGATAAACTCTGAATACATGAGCTAATACTGAAGCCAAAGAGCTGTGAGTCACACAACTGAAATGGAAAATACTGCAGGAAGAGAAGCATGGCTTTCTTGCTCGGGTTGAAGCCATGGACACTGAGAAGATGAGGACAAGGCATGGCAAACTGAGTAGTGCCCAGGGACATGCTGACTCATTCAGAGTGATCTTGATAGAGCTCTTTAGCCAGACAAGAGGTCAGGGAGAACTTCAAGTTAGTGGGTGGCAACTAAGAGGAGACAGTAAGAGAAGAATGCTATTTTAGTTTTACCATGGCTGAGCTAGAGAGGGAATTTTAGAGAGTTGTGTTTATGAGTGCTTTTGTTAATGGGAGGCCGAGCAGAGACCAAGGAAAGTATTAGAGATGAGAGTTAAGAACCAAAGGATGGACCGTCATCAAAAGAAAGCCACTGTCTTGAAATTAAAAAGGAGAGAAAGTGCAGATGCACTGGACGGAAATGATTTGGAAGAAGAGAAGAGAGCACTTCTAGGTAGATCTGTTTTGTCTCAGTTCAGCAAAAGCCACCATCACTTGCTCAGAGAGTCATCTTGAAAGGTGGGGAATATAGAAGGAAAAGAAAGTACAAATAAGGGCAACTCTCCCTGAGAGGGAAGCAGTGCTGACTGTGGGGCAGAGCTGAGGGTCAGTTCAAAGTATTCCAGATTCCAAGGAAACCAGTTGTCCTGGCTATAAGCTTTTCCCCAGCATTGTTTCTTTGCTCTGGTGAAAGCAGAAAAAAATAAATGGTGCTGAAAGAAGGGAGTTGAATGGCCATGGTGCTAAGTCAGCAGTGAGATGGGGAGGGTTATTGGCAGATAGCAATCACTTCAAGAACCTGGGAAAAATGAGTTGGAGATGGTGTTGGACAAGGGGCACCAAGAAAAGTACTGAGGCTCATGGCTCCAGAAACGGCAATTTCATCTCGGACAGCCAGAGGAGATATTGAACACAGTAGAGTATGCTGGACTTCACTGGAGCACCAAGCAGCACCAAATTGAGGCTCAATGTTTCAACTAATGAATTTTGAAGGAACACATTCAAGCCACAGAAAACAATGTGCTAATATTCTCTGCAATCTGTGTGTATACTACTAACTACAAGAAACTGTTTAAATTTAATCTTAAAGTGATTTTTAAAGTGAAATTTAAGATTTACTTCCTCAAGCTCAGTAGCTTTTCAAGCACCCAAGAGATGTGACATGTGTCCAGTGCTACCATGTAGTCCAAGACAAGTCAGAACACTCCTACAGTAGCAGTTCTACTGATCAAAGTTTAGGCTTGCTAATGCTTCATTTAAAAAAAAAATGTAATGTCTGAGAATGGGAACCTCAGAGAGGAGAAAGAGCAGAGAATTTACTACCAATAAATGGACAAAATATCAGCCTCCCATTTTTTCTCTTCTAACCCCTTTA